TTTTCTTTGGCCAAGTCTAGTATCAGTGGGGTAGGTAACAAGGATCACATCACAAGGAGGGACGGTGAATAACTGGGACAAAAATATATTCTGCCACTTGGGAAGAATATGATTGTGATATTATTTAAGAGCCATTATTATGAATCTCAGAGGACGTTTTAGTGTGGTAGGAAAAGTTAGAATTAAGCAATGTTAAAAAAAAAAGGTTAGAATTTTGGCAGATGATAATTTTAGCCCCCTTTCTAGAAATTTGTAGTGGTTAGCTATGTATTAAGTACAATTAATTCTTCTTGGCGGAGAAAGATAATGTACAGTTAGATGTTTCTGATCCTGGGTCGAGTGGGGCTTGATGGTCTGTGTACTGGACATCTGTGTTTCAGTGAGAAGCATTTCAGATGAAGACGGTAACGTTGGGCAACGCAGTGAGCACCCGCTGGATGACAGTTTTCTAGATGATGAGGAGGAGGAATACGAGCCAACAGATGAAGATTCCGACTGGGAGCCAGGAAAGGAAGACCTGGAGAAGGAAGACATGGAGGAGCTTTTGAAAGAAGCAAAGAAGTTTATGAAAAGAAAAAAATAACTCTTCTCTGAGATAATATATGGCTCATATTTACTCTTTCCTTATGGAAAAATAATGCAGGAACTAAGGAAGCACTTAAGCAATAATTATTTTCTTTCTTTTTATAGATAGGACTCTACTATTGACTCTCTGTAAATGAAACATGGAAATGTCAACCTTCAGTGTAGTGGATGGAATTTGTTTTGTTGCTTTGCTTTTTCATTCCTATTTAAAGCATCTAGAAATAGTAAGCAGCCAGAGAACTAAAGAGAAATAATTGATATTTTTCATGTACTTTGTGTGTCGGTAATAAAAAGTAAAAGCTATGGGTTGCACAAAACTTTGGCCTTTTTCCCAAAGAGTCTGTCTTTGAGTGGAATACTGTGCAGGTGTAACCAGGCAAATGACGTAACAGGTGGGAAAGCGTGCTTCGTTCATTCCTGCTGAAGTAATTCTTCAAGCAGAAGCAGGCTGGAAGAAATAACAGCCATCATACAATGGCAATTATTTTTTCTAGCACCCTGGATGTGAGCTTTGCCATTTCATTTACTACTTTGATTCTTTGAAACTTGGGAAAATTATCAAATGGATACTGAAAATAGATTCAACTAGACTATAGGAATGTCCAACCTGCAGGGAATGCTCAAGTCTGTGATTTACTGTGCGTCTGAGTTGAAAGGTAGAAAAACTCAAGGAATTTGGCCATTTCTTTTTCATACTGAAGGCCTGCCTGGTTATTTTAACTCTCAATATGCTGTCTTTACATTAAGAATGTAGAAATTATTTTTGACTATGATTTTCTCAAATGCCATTCGTTCTTTTATAGTCAGATGAAAGTAGTAAGTTGTCCGCCGGCACTCAAGATTCTGGCCTCTTATTTCAAGAAGAGACCCTTTCACATTTATGAAGTGTATCTCTATTCTTAAAGTACCGTAGAGCATGTAATGCTTTTCATTTTCGGTGACTTAGGATCTTTGAAATACAGTTTAGAATCTTTAAATTAAACAGTTGGGGATGTGTATACAGAGAAGCAGGTTTAGTACTGAAATCATAATTCACTGAACCAGAAAGCTTCCTTGTTGAACACTGATACCTTTTATTCTAAGAGAACCTAAAAATTTATATTTTAAAAGAGGAAGACAGATTTATAATTGTTTTCTTAGTGTTTTTAAATGTTTTCAGGTAATTGCATAAAATTAAAATTTACTTACACTACAGCAAGGAAAAGATAAATATTTCTCTAGACCATTATTATCTATTATTCTGACTTAGTCTCTTGTTATTTAGGAACTAATTTTCTTCTCCTAAGGTCCCTTTAGTCTTGGGAGCTTGACAAACCTGTGAAAAAAATTCTTTAAACTTATCCTCATTCTTGCACTAACTTAATCTTTGAAGTGTTCCTTGACCTACTCATAGGTGTATCCCAAAGGAATTAAAAAATGTGTGTTCACCAAAAAACCTCAGACACAATGTCCACAGAAGCATTCTTCACAATAGTCAAAGGTAGAAACACCTAAATGTCCATCAGCTGATGAATGGATAAACAAAACATGGTCTGTCTCTATAAGGGAATAGTTTTCAGCCATAGAAAAAGAACTACAGTCTTGAAACATACCGCAGTGTGGAAAAACCCTGGAAACATTACGCTAAGTGAAAGAAACCAGATACGAAAGGCCACGCATTGAATCAGCTCATTTATGTAAAATACCCCAAATTAACAAAGCCATTGAGACAGAAATTAGATTGGTGGTTGCCAGGGTCTGGGGGAGTGGAGGGGATAGAAGGTGACTCCTAATAGATAATTTCTTTATAAATTGATAAGAAATATTCTAAATTAGTGGTGATGGTTACAAAACTGTCAGTAAACTAAACCCCACTGAACTGTACACTTTCTCAGCATAGGTTTTATGGTATGTGGATTATGTATCTCACTAAGGCTGTTATAAAAAAAAAGAATACAAAAGGTGAGAATTGTCTTTCAGAAAGAAAAAGCAGCATTCAATATCAATACGTTCTTGGAAGTAGAGGAATGTGATAGCACACGGTAGCTGTTCTTTAAGGAGAGTTTGCTGCACCTTCATAATCATCCTGAAGTCACTTTTGAGTACAACCAATGTATAAATATGTAACTTAATTATAATGAAAATTTGCCACTTGTAATTGGACTGTGTTTAAATCTGTGATTTTCAAAATAGAGGGAAAACTCATGAGATTTGTGGGCTCAGAAGCAATGTTAACCGAAACTTGATTCTTTGATTGCTGTCCTGACCAGTGAAGAGCCAACTCTCCTTATCCTGGTGTTCATGGAATTTAAACTCTATCTCAGTCTCTTCCATCGAGCTAAAAAGGATCACATTTTTCACCTACATGTTTAATTCTAAAAGCAAATATTTTTGTTGACTTGGAGGGGAGGTGGGTTTTCGGGGACCTTGGGAGGCCGGAGACGTGAGGATGTTTTGGTGACGCGTGGGCGCTGATTCTGCTTTTCCCCCAGGTCGAGGACAGCCTTGTTGACGCTGTGAGTTTCTAGAACTGGACAGTCCTAGTGGTTATGAACATTCGTTGTAATCAAAGCGAATAGATTATGAGCATAATTTTTCCAGAGTGGTGATCTAAAGCTGAGACTAAATGGATAGTGGATTCTTCTGATTAATCTGTGCAGAGTTCAGAGTCACCAACATACCCCGTAGAGGGAGAAACCTCACGCGAGGTGCTACATTCAGCCCTGCTCTGGGAGACCACCTTGTTCCCATTCCGTTCCCCTTCTTGAGCAGGAATCTATCAGTGTGTGTGTGTTGGGGGGGGGGTTCTTCCTGCCAGTCTGCAAACCCAACTTACGAAGCTGTTCCTCTATAATACGTATTGAACAAAAATGAAAAAGAGTAATTACTGCTGAGTTCATTACTGGCCAGCCTGATACAATGTACATAATAGACTTCATTATCATAAACAACCACAGTTGTGCTCTCTTGCGCCCAAGACCCTGTGTGAGGTGCTGGTGAGTCAAAGAAGAATAACATGGAGTTTCTGTTTTCTATGTGCTTTCAGTCTATTTGGGAAGATAGGCTATTTCTTCATTCAGTAATGGTGAGAAAACAAGGAAGAAAAGGACCTGGGGTCTACAATCAAAGAGCTCGCAGGCGATGAGGCAGGAACGCAAAGAACAAAATGGGTAGAAAGGAAACAGTCTAAGAAGGGGATGCTGGGGCGTGCTGTAAATGTCCAGCCTTGCTGTGTATTGACGTACAGGCTCAGTTTTGAGGAAGAGCCTTTTCTGATTCAGCTGCAAGCTGAACTAGTAGATTTCTTCATGCGTCACAGTTTTTACTCGAAGGAATGACTGGCAGACGTGGTTATTTCAAACTTGAGTATATGACAGTATGTGATAACTTTGAGTATTCCTCCAAAATGAACTAAGCCTGTTTCGGTTTTTTCCCCCAAGGAAAACAACCAACAGTATATGTTGTAATTGTAAAGATTGAGCTTTCAAACAAAAATTAGGATTTTGGGGTTGAGGGTAGAGCTCAAGTGGTAGAGCGCATGCTTAGCATGCATAAGGTCCTGGGTTCAACCCCCCCAGCACCTCCTCTGAAAATAAACAAACCCAATTACCCCCCACCTGCCAAAATAAGATAATTAAATAATACAATAGTAAATAAGTAAATATTTTAAATTAGAATTTTGGAAAACTGGTATCTGTCACTGAGAGCTTCCTAAAACTTTTAAAACTGATGCTACTGTTGATATAATACAATGAAATGTATCAACATTTGGAAGATCTACAAAACTGAGCAAGCTGGCATTTTCCAAATGACCAATGTATGTTATAAAGTCAGGCACGGGTTAAAGATTTATTCAAAGCGTAAGATAGACCAATGAAACTTGGTGATTCAGAGTCTGTTAAATTCATTAATGTGGTTTCAGATTATACATTGTACCTAACCTTTCAGAAGCTGCTATCTATTTTTGGTGGTATATTGAAAATAATATTCACAATTATCTGAAAAGCCTATTAAAGTACTCCTTCCTTTTCCAACTACATATCTGGGTAAGGCCTGATTTTCTCTGTATACTTCAAGCAAATGATATCTGAGAGCAGAAACGAGAATTCAGCTGTCTTCTATTAAGCCAGGCATTAAAGAAATCTACAAAAATGTGAAACAATGCCACTCATTTCAATTAAAAAATAATTTTTTATAAAATACATTATTTATGTTAATATGCAGTAGGTTTATTATTTTTAAATGCATTAGCAAATAAATCTTTAAAATTTCTCAATTGTGATTTCCAAAATGGTACATATATTTAGATCTGACCCTCATAAACAAAAGCTCTTTGGGGTCATCAAAAAGTTTTAAGAGTTAAGGAAGTCCTAAGCCTCAAAAGTTTGAGAAGCACTCAGTTAAATCACTGTACCATTCAATTAGGCTGGGTGGGGGGAGGTAACTCAAAAATCTCAGTGTCATAACACAGGGAAAGTTTCCTTCTACCAAGATTTTCTGGTAGGTGACTCTAGGGCACTGTCTTCCAGATGGCAATTCAGCATTCCAGGCTTTCAGAAGCTCAGAAATCTCATATCATGGTTGCACCACTGGGATGTGAGCTTATTAATCCTGACTGCGAGAGACATAGAGAAAGTGGAGGGCTGTACCCTGAAACTTAAACGCTTCAGGCTGGAAGTGACACTCATACTCACAGCCCATTGGCCAGAAGTAGTCACATGGCCTCGCCCATTGAAAAGGACCTGGGAAGTAGTTTTGTGGCCCAGACACAGTGAATGAACACTAGTGATGTGTACAGTCACTAAAGGGGTGAGTGATAAATAGGGAAAAGAGAGTTGAGGACGAGATCTGGGGTGTAACCGTTTAAGGAGTAGGAGTAGAAAGAAGACTCTTTCAAGGAGTTAGAGGGAGAAGAGGGGTGCCAGGGGTCTGCTGTGTTGCAGA